CATCATTATCATCATCATCATCATCAACACCATTCATCATCATCACCATCATAATCATCACCATCATCATCATCATCATCATCATTATCATCATCATTATCATCAACACCATTCATCTTATCATCACCACTCATCATCATCATCACCATTCATCATCATCACTATCATCATCATCATTATCATCATCACCATTCATCATTATATTCATCATCATCATCACCATTATCATTATAAGATTCAGTATTCTTATAGTTTTTAATTACTTGTTTTTCATACCTTGTTCATCAGGGAAGGGGAGTTTACCAGTCTTCATGGCAGCCTCCAGGGCGGGGTTCTCCTTTGTAATGAATGGTTCTAATTGTTGGGGTAGGGTAAGTAAGTGATCTCCAATCTGAAAAGGATTATTGAAGCATGTCAGGTGACGCTTAGATGAACTTCTTGGATTTGACTTTGTCTGTCTGTCTTCCAGTATTTCTGTGTGTCTGTCTGTGTGCCTGTCTTCGTTTCTGTCTGTGTGTCTGTCAGCCAGTTTGTCTTAGTGTGTGTGTGTGTGTTTGTTTGTCTTACAGCAATACCACTTACATGCGTAATATATCCTTGAGGTGATAAACTAAACTTTGGAAGTTCACTGCTGAGAGCTGATCCTGATTCGGCAGAAACAGATGCCCAAGTCTATCGAGAAACGACACAAAATATTCTCAGTACCAATTCTAAATATTATTATAAAAAATATTAGAATTGCTCAGATCATGGGTGTTATATCCTGCCAATTTATGTTCTATATCTTTTGCCGTGCAGTGGTTGGGGATTCAATCTTTAACCCTCGCCATTGTATGTATTAAGGAAAAGTTTCTTAATGTCGGTTTTCTCATATTCTTTGAGATTTTTTCTCCAGGTTGTCTGGTTTTTCTCCCTCCGCAATTCCAGTTCAATCATGGAATGGCTACAGGTTTTAAGTCACATTGAACTATTAGGTGGTACCCTTGTAAAACAAGGACGATTTATTTAGAGCTTTTATTTACCTCCAGTTTTGGCACAAGGGACAACTGTTGCTTGATTTGAAGAAAGGCGACATCAAATGCAAGTCTGTGAGCTCGTTCGTTGAGTGACTGCATTTGTTCAAAGACGACTGGTAAAACAGCGTAATCCTTAGCAGTACCTTGAAAAACAAAACCAACCATCCTAAGAATTTTACTTTTCGAATAATCATTAATCCAATAATTAGATCTTATTAACCGAGCGGGAGGTCTGTACGGGATAATCTTGACTGAGGTCTGTACCCGACCGAGGTCAAGATTATCCCGTACAGACCGACCAAGCTCGGTTGATAAGAGTTTTATTATATGACCACTTTTCATTGAAAAGGACAAAATTTTTTCGCCATAAGATTAATATGCCATCGGACCGGTTAATATCGGAGAATCTAGACCAGCCGCGTTGCGATCTATCCAATCAGATTGCTCGATTTGCTAGTGTCCAGGCTCTAAGATTCACGGTCATATAATAATCTTCTATAATTCAACTACATGTATATACACTGACATTCTAGTGATCACTAATGGTGTCAAAGATTCCCTTGTCATAATAATTGTAATAAATTATTAGTTGAGTCTGATGTGTCTGTGAACATCCTGATCACTGCTCTTAAGCCTGCATTTCTCTTGCGACAAAATTGGAGTCGAAAGCAGCTTATGACGAAGTGAAAACCAGAAAACAGAGTGGGAACCTGATTTAGTAAAAACAGTCGTAAACTTTTAAGATTTTTCTTGCTTGCCTTGTACATGTGCTTATGTCGGGCAGTTTTCAGACACTTTAAATTCATTGATAAACTGCTTCCGACTCCAAATAAAAAAACAGGCTTTAGATTGCAGTACGTTAATGTGTAAGTTCCTTTAATAAACCTAGATATCTAAGGGCTATAAGCACCAATAGCATTCGTTCGGGAAGTATAGTTCCTTTGCATACCTGACTGGTATTTTTGTATAAACTCTAAAAGAGTGTTAAAATCATTAGGTCTTTCTTTCTGGAGGTAGTTGTACCACCTGAAGGGTCTGGTGGGAAATCTAGAGGTGTCGCTATCACTCGCCTTGCCTCCTATCTCTCTACCACATATCATTAAGATGTCGTAGAGGTTTCTGTCGTGAGTGCGGAGTCGAAGGAGAAGATCACCTGAATAAAAAAAAGGCATACAAAGAATGCAAGGGACATTGAAATACTAAAAATACTGAAATAAAAAAATACAAATTGGTTGGACTAGAAACAGAATTATCGACAATATTAAATTATAATTTTTTTAATAGGAATCGTATGTCTGTCTGTGGAGTACTCACCACAGATTTGAATAATACGGAATGCATTCTGGAATAAAGTCCAATCTTCATGGAACTCTTTCATATCTGGTGTGAGGTCCTGATCCAAGTAACATTGTTTTCGTAAGCTGGAAATACATTCATCAAGGCGGCCTGTGTATTCGCTGAAAAATTCCTAGGAAAAAAAAAATTACTCCTATTTTTTGAAATGTGTACCCAATAGACCTCTTAAACTTGTGGGTAATGTTTTCCCATTACAAATAATATGTCATTCCCTTCTGAATAAGATTCTGAGTTATATCCATATTCATGTGTCTTCTTATGCACAGTCGTTAAACAAAGAAATTATACTCTAGGGAATGACACATGTATGAAATGGGAAAACATTATGTTCAAGGTAAAGAGGTTTATTGTTTTATGGTATTGTGTAGTACCAGAAATCATCCATACCCAACCCACAGAGGAATTTGGAATTTCCGAAGAGTAGGGGGGTTAGAGAAAGAACAAAAATTACAGCGTTTGTATGGAAGAAAATTGGAATTTCCAGGGGGTAGGGGGGTGTCTTAAAAAAATTCCTCTGTGAGGGGTTATGGATAATTTTTGGAACTACACAATACTATTATCATTCTTTTTTTTAGCGAGAGATTTTGATAAAGAAAACATTTTCTATTGTTTTGTCCAACAACATGGATGCCGCCATGAAACTCTACTTTTTGTCCACTTATGACATACCTCTAACACAAAACAAAGCCCACAAACTGCATAGCCATCGGTGAGTTGTACACAGTAGTCCACAGCCTAGAAAAACAGAAAAAGATTTTTTTATCTTTACAAGTTGATATCCAGTTTTCCCATGAGGAAGGTGACTTTGACTACCCTCAACAAATGGTCTTTCCCTCCCCTCCCCGAAAAATCAATGGCTAAATAGAGAAGGGGTAATAGGCAAACTAGGACTTCTAATATCCCTTACTGCACGAGTAGTCAACAAATGCTCTTTCCTATGGGGGTAGGGGTTTTTGTGAGAAACGACAGTTCATATACCTCAGAAACCCAACCTTTATTTCAAAGTTTAATTCCAATTTGTTTTCAAATTTAAATTAAAATACAAAAGGATATAAGTACAGGACTAATGAAAAAATATTTTTAGTCAAGAAAATTAAGACTTTAAACATATTCGATCCACAATCCACTAAACCGAGTCCAGTCCAAAATGCCATTCCAGGACATGATTCCGGATTTTCCAGATCAAAAATCGCCCTTAATGTCAAATTCTGAAAGTTYGACTCAGTTCTAATGATTTTGTTGTCGTTTAAGTATATATATCATGTCTTTATTGCACAATGTATGTAAAGTAATTCCCAAAGATTGCACTTGAGCTCCACTTGAGCTCCCTCTCTTCTGCATGTAGCTTAGTAAAGTATACATGTACATCTTCATGGAGGAAGGGTAAGAAGTGCTTTTGCAATGAAAGGCAAGTACAAACCTGATCACCAAGAAGGAAGGTTAATAAGTGTTTATATGCAGAAAAGCATGTACAAACCTGATCGACTAAACGAAAGACTTTATCAACTGACTTTGCCATCCGACCTGCCATTTCTAGAAATTCATCAGATCTCTGCATCACAAATGGATTAAAAATATCTTAAGTAAAAGCTAACTTGAGCACAACATTGAAACAGCTATGAACTACCAACAAACAACAACAACTTTTACAATAGTAAGGCATTTTTAGGGGTACAGTAAATTCTGACAAGCGATACTAACACGTTCTGAAATTCTGAAGTCAGTTGCGAAATTCAGACAAAGGGCATTGGTACACCCCTAATTGAGCCTCAATCATAGGCCACATAACAAGGATTTTAGAATATTTATAGTTCATACCAGTGAAATGTTTTCCAGTTGGCCAACAAGGTATGACTGTTGCATCATTGGGTAGTCCAACATGTACTGGATGTACGGAGAAAACACTGCATCAACCAACACTGATATGGAATTAGGACTGCACTTCCCTGAAGTCAACACACATCAATATAAAGTTAGGTACAGAACCATAGGAAGTCTTAAAAAAAATTTATTCCGGAAAAAAACTGTGGCTGTGTGACCATTATGGCCCTAATTATTTGAGGCTGGTTGATAGTTTTTTGTTTGTTTTGAACTTCATTTCTTCTTACCTTCTTGCTGCAATAGAGCTTTTTCTAACCCTTGGCCATATCTAATGGTAACCTGCAAAAGATGACAATGATGATGATACTGCAGATAATTTTAATAGTAGCAGTGATAATGGGAAGAATAGTGATGATGAAGTTGATGATGACGTTGATGATGATGATGGGGAGTTATGGTGGTGATGACTGGTGATAAAGGTGGTGATGATGCATCTTGATGACTGATGTTGGTGGTGATGCAGACTAATAAAATGGTGATGATGATGCAATGATGATGGTGATAATGATGATGATGACTGATAATGGTGATGATGCAATGATGATGGTGATAATGATGGTGTTAATGATGACTGATAATGGTGGTGATGCAGACTAATAAAATGGTGATGATGATGCAATGATGATGGTGATAATGATGATGATGACTGATAACAGTGGTGATGATGCAATGATGATGATGATAATGATGATGATGACTGATAATGATGGTGATGATGCAATGATGATGGTGATAATGATAATGATGACCGATAACGGTGGTTATGATGCAATGATGATAATGATGATGATGACTGATAACGGTGGTGATGATGACGCTATTGATAGTATACATAATGATGAAAAAAATGACATTTCACAGCACTATGAGGTTATTTACCCTTGTCAACAGTGTCATACCTGTCTCAAATCAATCAACCTCTGCAAGACATCCTGCTGATCCCTGATGTACTCAGCAATGCATTGAGGGAGTGATGGGTCCAGATGAGTTAGGGTCTGCATCAACAACACACATAAAACTGTCCCTGGCTCAGGAAATACCTGACTACACCAACTAACCTGTGGAAAATTGAACAAAACAGTTTCTCAAACTCATCCATATTTAATAAAGACAAAACAAAGTAAATCTTTTAAAATTCTTTTGAACCCTGAAACAAACTCTGGGCTGATCTAAGTCAGAGCACAGCTAAAGTGTAACTCACAGATAGAACCCTGAAGCAACCTCTGGGTTGATCTAAGTCAGAGCACAGCTACAGTGTAACTTACAGATTGAACCCTGAAACAACCTCTGGGCTGATCTAAGTCAGAGCACAGCTACAGTGTAACTTACAGATTGAACCCTGAAACAACCTCTGGGCTGATCTAAGTCAGAGCACAGCTAAAGTGTAACTTACAGATGGAACCCTGAAACAATCTCTGGGTTGATCTAAGTCAGAGCACAGCTACAATGTGACTCACAGATCGAACCCTGAAACAGCCTCTGGGTTGATAGAAGTCAGGATACAGCTAAGAGCTCAGGAATAATATTGGAATTTAGCAGAGAAAACAAAGAAAAACCCTCAAATGAAGAGAGACCCAAAAAACTCTGCTCACATGCATCACAGATGCCAAATCCAGTAAGAAAAACAGAAATCTCAGAGGTGCAAGGCGAATATACTAAGCTATGCTAGCCTTGATTATAAATCAATACCATAACAGTGGTTTGGTTAAGTGAATTCAATGAGCATAACATTTGATCAAATTTGCTTGATGAAGTTCATCATCAGCATACCTCTGTGTACCAGGTTGACAAGATGACATCATAGAAGGTAGCCAACCAATCAAGCATCATCTTGTTAGGATCTTCTGTACGGATCTCAACCCAAGTCTTTTGTAGCTTTGTCTATGAGAAAAAACATGAAATCAAATCACTATTAGAGAAAAATGGGTCATTTACTTTGTATTTTGTCTATGAATTTTAAGCTCACCTTGTGACATCTCACATAATAGTTTTGTAGCTGGTCAAGTCTGTCAATGTCAGAAAAGATTTTCACATACTCTTTTGTTTCTTCTGTTGATGTAAAGAAATGAAAAGAAGGTTGTTGCATGTTTATTCAAGGTTCTTGGTGCAAGAATGATACAGTACTATCATAGTTTGATAAATGTCTTAAAATGCAATCATAAAACATGTATTTAACCACACTTCCAGCGACACTAATTGCAACACAAAATCCAAAAATGTAGGAACAATTCAATTGCACAGCCTAAAGAGGCAGCCCAAATGATATACCTGCGGTCTTACATGTATATACAGACGTTCAAGGAATGATATTATTTTTCAAATTTAACCACTTTTTCAGAGCATACATTCACTACAATCATATGCAAAAAATAGCAGCCTGTGAACAGCCTCGTTGTATTTTGGCATATAAATATAATCAGCTGGTGAGTAAGGGTATTTATTTTCACTTGCTGGGCATCTCTTAATGTAATTCCCTATAATAGTATCATTTCTTTGTTCAACAGTTGCACATATGAGAAGACACATGATCAGGGATACAACTCAAAAAAAAAAAAGAAATCTATCATCAAGAGTCTAAATAACATGTGGTCTGATATGGGATTTCAAAGACATGCCAAAGAGGTAAATATTATTTTCTTATTTACCTAGAGAATGATTGTTGAATGCTGCAACAATTTTTGGACTCAACAAGGCTTCCAGTTTATTTTTCAATCCTTCTAGTCGCCGTCTTCTCTCTGCATAATCTGGTACATCTTGTAGAACAGTCTATGAGTAGAAACATTTGACACAAATTATTTATGCCAAGATTTTCTCCAACATTCTGGTTGTACTATATATAACTGAGACATCTGGTATATAGTACAGGAAGTTTAAAACTGGAATATGCTACCAAGTTTTTCATAACCTACCAAACTCTTATGCATGCCAACGAGCTTCTCTGATATCTGGAGGAAAAGCAAAAGAAGTTAAGACTGTTTGATTAAATTAATAATCAAGGGTAAATATTACAGGAAGACTATCATAGGGTTATGTAACAAAGTAAGGGTTATTGAATTAGAAAACAGCACAGAACACAGCAATGTGAAACTACAGATTTGATGGCATCCTTTAGACCATCAAAGTGTGTCAATTAGGCTCATACATTTATCTTGCCAAAGATATCACATTGTAAGGTATGCTGTACCATAGTTTTTCACAGTTACAATTAAGACAGTGACTTGCTATGATGCTGTTACTTACTGCCTTGATGTCACCAGAATCAAAGACCTTTTCCACGTCTGCTGATAAAGTTGTCCAATTATCTGCTTCCTGGGATGCAACGAAAACATATGTAGCTGATCAAACCAAGCTATTTGTTATGCATTTTTGGAATAAAATTAAACATTTTGACAATATTTGTTTATCAGTTGGTCAAAGCAGGTTGGAATGTATAGTCTAGATTATCGTTGATTGGCTAATTTTGCTAGAAGAGTTCACGGTTCAAGTGACATCACTGTAACTCAACAATATCTTTGTGACAAAATGATCACATACCTGAAGTCCCTGGGAAGCAGCTTGCATCCGTGACTTGACTGCATCCAGCTCCATCAGCATCTTCATGGACTGTGCTGTGTTCTCTTCCACCTGAACAATAGACAACAACCTATTCAATATGTATTAGATTATGATATCTTGTCTGAGAAAAAGAATAAATACACCACTTTTAAAAAATGTTTGGTGAACACAATTTTTCTATATAGTATGGGTGTCATGTAGTTGTATGGATATAGGTAAAAGAAGGCTATTCTTAGCAGTCTGACTAGTGTAGAAGCAGGCGTAACTCAGTTGGTTAGTGCGCGACCTTCAGAGCTTGAGGTCCTCAGGAACTCCACGTCTGTTTCGACTTCTCTCTGTTCTGTGTAGCTTTAATTAGCTTTAAATACCCATAAAAAGGAGCACTGATAGTAAGAGGGGGTAGAGGGCGCACCTTCGAGTGCATTAAACATGAGCTCTTGGCTCGGGAGATTTGGGCAACCACTCCCCGCGTTATCGAAGTAAAATAATTACCTTTACCTTTACCTTTGATTTGCATGTATGAGTAGTCATTGATTGGCTGAGTTGTTATTGCATTTGCAAAGATTGTATGGCAATCAGGTGCAGTTCGAGTATATTGGCATTTAGGGTCAAGAGTTTTCCTTATGCCCACCCTCCCCTCCCTAGTGCTGCTGTGGTTCTTTTGAGACCTCTGCCAGGTCTGTTCCTAATTACATGTATCAAACTGGGGTACAGATAAGAGATATATAGCTTACCTTCTTGATATCCTCTTTAACCATATTCATTTGTTCCTTCAGTAACGATGCTTCATGTCGCAAATTCTCTATCTCTCTCATAACCCTTAAAAACAGATGGCTAACACTGAAATTCTAGTTGCAACATTTACAGTAAGTATAACTAAAAATGTATAGTTTTCCTCAAGAGAAAAAAAAAAWATATATATATATATATACATGTATCTATAAAACAATGACATTTTTTGTTTTTTAATGGATTCTTTGTTGATCCATACCTTGGAATACTATTAACGCTCTGTACACTCGTCTCCTCTAAGGCATTGTTGACTTCCTAAATGTTTTATGCAAGAATAAGCAATATTAACAAATTAAATAGCTTATTACATGCTTCAGTGTTTTCTAATTAGAGCTGCACAACTGAACAGAGCACTGAAAGAGCTGTTTTATCTAATTGAAAGAAAAAAAAACTTTTGTTAGTAGTTTTCTGTTTTCTTACACACTTCTTTGCAAAATTGGCTGTGCACACAGGTTTGTGTGAGCAATTGTGCTCTGTTTTCTAATAAATCACAGATCTTGACCAATCAGATTGGACATACTATGTACGTTACATTTATATAATAAAAAAGAATTCAGAACAAGCAGCGAAAATGTTGAACATTATAAATACCTGGATAAAAAGCTGTAACTTCATGACTAAAGTAGATGCATGTGCCTGCAAAAGAACATATATTTATATTTATCAACCACCGTGACCAACAGCCAATCAATCAAAAGTTAGTCAGGAAAAAAGACTAGGATCACCAGAAAGCTAGCAAGTTTTCAAAACAGTTCCATATATGCACCCACTGTCATTGTTGGCATTACCCTCGGGACATTAATTGTCTGTCAATCAATCAATCTGCCAGTCAGTCAGTCAGTAGATCTGTCAGTCAATCAATCCGTCAGTCAATAGGTCATTACATCAGTAGGTCTGTCAGTCATATAGGTCAGTCAGTCAGTAGGTTAATCAATCAATCAATCAGTCAGTAAGGTCTGTGAGTAGGTCAGACAGATCAACAGACCGACAGACAGACAGTCATTTATCAGCTGATTATACATTGTATTTTAACCATCCTAACACATTCTCGGTTAATGAAGAGAAAAATAAATAAATAAATCAGAAAATTAAACTTCATGAATAAAAAAATATTTTAAAATAGGGCAATTCAACTCATGTCACAAAGCATTTCCCCTTTAATTAATGCCTAAACTGAAAGGCTTATATTTTTCATGCCCTATAAATACAACGATTATATCATGCCTCCTTATAATCATAAACCACACGCTGCTTTGTAATACAGAAGCAAACAAAATCAATAAAACAAAAATACCCAAAATGAACTTTACAGATGTCTACGTGTCAACTCTTACATCGATAGGAGTTTTGTCGTCTCGCGTCTTCAAAGCTGAATTCACCCATTCTTTAACATCAAAATTTTGATCCGAGAACTTCCAGAAATCCATTTACCCAGCTATAATCTTAAAATAAACATGAAACTTAACGGAAACTAATATTTTTAAAAAGAATAACTTTTTGAATAAATTTTGCGACGGCCGCCATTTTGGATTTAGTAGTCCAGCTTTAGCCACAGGGAGCCCAAGTCTGGCTTTGACGCAGTGAATTAAAAATAATAATAAAATGATTATTTTAGGATAAGAAATTTTATATTAAAAAAACAGGAGAAAATTCTCCTCTTGAGATCGTAGGAGAGCTTTATTAGAGCTCTATGCGTGCCCTTTCCTATATTTCTTAAAGATGTTTTTAAAATAAAAAATATGAAATGGGTTTCCTGTGCTTAGTCCCCAGTTCATTCGAAGACACGCGTCCAAGATGGTGGGTGTTCTGCACGAGATTTAGAAGAGCTAAAAGAACTTTGAAAACAACCCTTGTTTTTAAAAATATTTAAAGATGTCTGTGGATATAAGGCTACCTGGTGAGAGAAGAAAGATTCCCGAGCAAATGGACTCGGAGCCTAAGCATATTGTATCCCCTGGAGATGTGATAACCGAAGATACAGGCTACATGAGGTACGTGTATGGAAACTACTGCAGTGGGAAACGAAAAAATTATATATGGAATTCTTGTAAAGAAAAATAGGTTTATAATATAAGTTTTACAGGCTAGAGGATAAACGGATATTTTAGATATTTATCAGAGTTTTTGAGGACCTCTTTCAGGGTGACATACAGATTTCAATGTTATTTTCTCTAGCTTTGTAATATTGATCTCATCACTTCTCTAGGGGACATGGCACTTTCGTCCAAGATGACAAGCTGATAGCAACAGTGTCTGGGATGGTGGAAAGAGTCAACAAGTTGATTTGTGTGAGGCCTTTTAATACAAGGTAAATTGGGCTTCTCCTCATGTCTATCAATACAAAGTGGTTTTTAGCTTACAAGAGGTGCTCCACTTTTATGTATGTAGAGTATTTGTTGGAGCTGCATCCTTCAAATTTTAATTACTGTATTACCCTAGCTGAACAACCTCTGTGACCTACTGTATGTCAGGGCATGGCCAACTCAAATATCAATTTCTGAAACAACCTCTGTGCTGATCTAATTCAGGACATAGCTAACTCACAGATCAAACCCTGAAACAACCTCTGGGCTGATCCATGTCAGGGCACAGCTAACTCACAGATCAAACCCTGAAACGACCTCTGGGCTGATCTATGTTAGGGCACAGCTAACTCCAATATCAAACCCTGAAACAACCTCTGTGCTGATCCATGTCAGGGCACAGCTAACTCACAGATCAAACCCTGAAACAACCTCTGTGCTGATCTATGTCAGGGCACAGCTAACTCAGATATCAAACCCTGGAACAAATCTGGAGAAAACCTTCAAACCTGCAAGGGAGAGACCTAACAAAACCTACTCACATGTTGTGGCAAGTCCAGGAATCAAACCTGAGACACCAGTGGCTAGAGGCGAATGCACTACTGCTACATCACCCTTGATTCCCATTAGGAAAGTTTCTCCTAATGATGTGTGGATCTTGGACTATCATTATTCTAATCTGATAATTACTTTGTTGCAGATACAATGGTGAGATTGGAGATGTTGTGGTTGGAAGAATAACAGAGGTATCATAATATAAGAATAAATGGCCCAAAAAAAAAATATTTGTGCTGATGGTACATCTTTGGGTTTTGTTTCTTCAGGTTGGGCAAAAAAGATGGAAAGTAGAAACATTTTCAAGGCTTGACTCAGTTCTGCTCCTGTCATCTGTGAATCTTCCAGGTGGAGAGCTAGTAAGTACAGTATATTTACTACTGATAATGATAAAGTAAGAGACCATTCATAATTTATGGGTTGAGATTTTTCTCCTTTTTCTCCCTGCCACAAAATCAACAACTGAGTTGAGTGCTGTGTGCATATAACATTAATTTAGTGGTAGTGAGCTTGCTGTTTGATGTACATAAACATCAGCCTCTGGCTAGAGGAGAGTAGGCATTGGCTCTCCATATCATGGCATCAAATAAATAAAGATATATTTCTTTACAGAGAAGAAGATCAGAGAAAGATGAGCTGAAGATGAGAGAGTACTTTGCAGAGGGAGACCTTATTAGTGTATCCTATGAAACAACAGCTGGTTGATTATTAAGTAACCTGTATGGATTTCCTGTTTCTTTTTCAATTCTTATCTCCTGCTTTAAGTAAAACAGAAAAGGTGGTTTTGGGGACTTGCAGTGATGATGTGTGACGTATATGCACTTTTAGGCTCAGTCAGTCCGTCCATCCATCAGTCARTCAGTCGGTCCACTTATCCATCTGTCTTTAAGTCAGTCAGTCAGCCAGTCTGTCCGTCTTTCCATCCTTCCCTCCGTCTTTCAGTCCATCATTTAGTCGGCCTGTTAATTTTCCTTCCATCCTTCATTATGTCAGTCTGTCCATCCGTCCGTCCGTCCGTCCTATCGTCTGTCCGGTCAGTCAGTCAGTCAGTCAGTACTCTGTCAATCAGTTGGTCAATTAGCTGGTTGATAGTTGTGTTTCAGGATGTTTTATTGCATTTTCATTTCATTTTCATCATCATCACTCCTTAACAGTATCCAGGCCGAAGTGCAGTCTATCTTTGCCGATGGTTCTTTATCTCTCCATACCAGAAGTCTAAAGTATGGCAAGGTTGGCTCACATTCCATATATGGAAGATATTACATGGCCACGCAGAGATACGGATTTTATCTTCGAGGTGATATCTTACCAGTTAGCGCAGCGAACGAGTAAAATATTCTAAACACAAGAACTCGATAAAATTCGTATCTCCATGTGGCCATGTTAGGTTATTTTATAAGGGTGGCTTGGTTGGTTAGTGCGTTGCGTGCTAAGCAAGAGGTCCATAGTTTGATCCTCAGTGACCTCACACACTTGTTTGAAGGAAAAGTGTGGCTTGCTTGGTTAGTGTGCTGCTTGCTAA